CGCGTGTGAGAAAAAGCTTTCTTCTATGTGCTTAATTTGTGCAGTTCTTCCTTATGTAGTATGGCGATCGCTGTAACTGATGACCTAATTTTAAAAAAAATATTCGAAAGTGACTCATGCATAAAAGTAAAATCTGCATATTTCTGTGTTTAAAATGTTGTAAAACGAAGCTGTTTTTACCTGGTATTTATCGCCGGATGGTTTGCTCTATTGTCTAACGTTTTAGCGACTCCGCATGAAGGTGTTTACATTGAGCGAATTGAACGACTGGCTGGAAACAAGGAGTTACGTTAACGGGTTAGCGAGTACACTTATTTGGGCTTTTTATACCGTGTATTTTCCTTGACCATGGATTTCAGTGATACTTCGATGATGAATATATTTTTTATTCCTGAGTCGAACGGATTTCCTTACTTAGCTATTAACAGATTTGAAAGCCTTCATATCTAAAAATTAAAATCCAATAATTGTCATTTTTTAATCGAAAGATTCATACACGACAAGATTTCGGATTTCCATCATATAATATAGGTGAAAAACCGAAAAATCTTTTCTGAGATCGCCGTCATGCAGATTTCAATTTGCATGTCATTCTCGAAAGCTTTCCTGAACCTGAAAGCGATCTGCTATTGCCTTTATCTTTTTATAACAGACACTCTAACTATAAACCGAAATAAAATGATTCATCTTTGTTGATCTCTGACGGAAGCATGATTAAAACCGCTATGCTATCTACCCTCTGAGGAGAATAGCTTGAGAACAAGGCGCACAAATGATGCGGGCATGCAGTGTTTGATGAACGGTCTCAAGAAATAAAAAATAACATTCCTCGAGATATGGCTGGTCAATTTTGAATTATCTGATTATATTAAATGCTTATGTTTGTCACACCTTTAGGTTTATTGCTTGCTCACTTTTGGCGTGGTTATTGAAAGCGTAATTACACAGTGTCTGATATTAATATTGCAGAGTAGGCTTCTTAACCGTAAACGAGACAGATATTCCGACAGGTTTTTCGTAGGAGGCCATCGTGAACTAAGTCCCAGCACGGAACCTCAAGCGAACATGTCAAAGCATACGTCCAAAAATATTAGTGGTATGCCGCCTCATAAAAAAATTGAAACTGTGTTATCCGAAGATTAGGTGGGAAGCGCTATCCACCTGCAGAACATTCAGAGAGATGCCTTTTTCAGTCATGCAAAAGTGCATGCCAGCTGAGTCGCTGACCATAAACGCATTCTGGCGTAGAAGGATCAAAGTGTGGTTGCTGCGGAGCAAAGGACGATTTGTGCCTGCGAGAATTGATATTATTGTGGACTGGTGTATAAAATGGGGTTATGAAAGGAGTGATTCACGTTGCTGTTAGGACAGAAATTGGTTACTTATGTTCTTGACAATTGTTGTGGTCGTAAGACAGTACCTCATTGCTGCTAAATGCCTATGGATCATGTTTAATATATAACTGAGCCCTGATAAACAGTATCCCATTAAATATTTATTCGTTTTACTTATACGTTATATAAACATTTTACGTTCGTTTTACTGTATTCAACATTTTACATTTTTATGAGCCAGTCCTTTACTGCCGATAGTCAGATTATCGCATAATCTACTATGCTGTTTGCATCCGACTCATGCAATTTCGCATTTTTACACTGTGTGGCAGTAGTTCAATTTTTTGTAATTCGTGCATTGTATTTGTACTGAAAATAGGCTACAACGTGGTTTATTTTGCGCAACGTAATCCAGGATCTATGGTTGGCTTACAGCAACCTAGTGGGGAGGTGACAGTACATAAGAAGTCGGCTTCGAACTACAGTATGCCGAATTCCGGCGACTCCAATATTTGCTTTAACCACGAATTTGCTTAAGCGAAGAATTTACTGCACATTGCTTTAGACCGGGGTTATTTGTTCGTAGAGAGTATAAGTCAGAACCGAAAGGTGTGGGTTCGAGCCCCCGTCAAAGTCACTTCTCTTTCTTCCTTCCGAGGTTGTTGTATGAGTACTATTCTATGGGAAGGCAACTGGAGACTACACTGCTGTCGTCTCTCCCTTTAAAAGGGATGCACTTCTGGCCGATGGCATGAAAGTAGAAATCAACGACCCATCGTTAACGTCATGGAAAGAAGGCCGCCAGAATGACTTAATCATGAAGTTATAAGACTGACATTCCAACGGTTTGTTGGGCTTAAATACACTGTGATCCTTCCCACGAAGCAACAATAACACGGCAGTGCAGTATACCGAGGCTTAGCTTTAGAGGAGTTACGTGGCAATGAGTACACCGGCATATGAGCCCTTTCTTGACCCTTGTAGAATAGAAAGACTTCCTTGTGGAATTGCAGGACAATCAGTGCCAAGAAGTGCTTTGGATATATAGACGTTTATCAAACGGTGTGCACTCCGCTGGGCCTAACTAATTAAAAAATGCAGCTGACAAAAAATGAAGTAATTTACAGACCATATCCTGATATACGTTATGTCAGAACTGTGCGACACTGTAGTACATAAGCCATAGCATTTAAGTATATGATGCCAGATTTACTCGGCCATAGCTGCATACGGGTGTCATTTAAGCAGGCCATGGGTGTTACGTTTAGGCTTCTGCTGCACGTTGTATGCATGTAGTGCATCAATTAGTTTGGCCGAACAAGGACGTGGTCGAGCACCAACTAAATCTGCCATTTTCCATAGGCAAATATCTACTGTAAAGATATCCATGATGTTCAGCGTGGCTGCTAATCCAGAACATCGTACATATGAAGAATACTAATTCCGAAAAAAAGAGGAAGATTTTGCTCGAACGAATAAAATGATTCCAGATGTATCATGCATCTGCTAATCAAATACATATCACATATATCTATGACGTGATTCAATCGCTCCTTAGACAGCTAAAATTAAGGTGGTGATGTGTTTCACCTTGGAATGTGATCTTGGAAAAATAATTCGGAAGGTTTATTAGGAGACGAGAGACCACTAGCAACGTTTTTACCTGTTTTGCAGAACCAGACTTTCAAATCGCTTTCCCATTGATGCTAGACCGTCTTTATAGTCGCACTTTGTTTCTTCTTGATTGTTTGAAAATGCTAGCAATAAGGCAATTACTCTAAAATTACAAATTTACTTTTCTATGAGAACATGGTCATTTTGGTGGGTAGCAATTGTTTCTCATCCCGGTATGTTTTATGGTTTTTCTGTTTTGTTTGATACACTGTCGCCAGGTCTTAGGTGTGACCTGTGACCTGCAACGGGTTAGCCTTTATTCTGACTGAAATTCCGTTGTAACTAGCTTCCTTCCCACGTCTCTCTCGTATTGTTTAGTTTCAGAGGTCACTCGGAATTC